CAGAAATCTAGCAACCAGAAACCTTGACAGAAAAAAAAAAAAAAAAAAGTAGTAGAATGCTAGCCTTGAGCTCAAAAGCTTATGGACAGCACCCAGCCCCAAGTTCGAGCCCCAGGATGGCACACACACACAAAAATAATAGGTCTTCCCTGTCCATGCCACACAGCATGATTAAAAGCTTGAGATGTTAGTCACAGTAGTAGGTTGGATCAGCTGTTTCCTCTCACTTGGTACTAAAACCCAGCCCCCTGCTTATTTCTTCTCTTCATTTTTGCCCCCATTTGCAAGATGGTAACTGTACCTGTCTTGTTTAGAAGCCCTGCATCTGGGATCAGGTTGATAACATCCTGAACCATATTAATTCCCTATAACCAGTTCCCAGAGCATCCTGGACCCTAGGCAGCTACATAAACCCAGGGAAAGCCTATGGCACTAGCTGGGTCAGAAATCGTAGTGGGCATTCAGCACCCAGGACCTCAGCACCTTAAAACCAAAGCATATACAGGAGAGTACATCTAAAGGCTAGGCCAGGCCTGCCTGGGTCCTCTGGGCTAGTGTCACATATGTGCTAGATGGGGATATAGCCTGGCACCCATGGGTACCATGAGGATGGGCAGGGAGAAAAGTGCTACAGAATGAATTGATTTGATAAATGGCCATTTATTACCCTCACGAATTGGCTGAAACCAATTTCGGTCACATCAACCCTTGGTAAGTGCTGGGATATTGATTTGTGCAAAGTAATACAGTGAATTTATCAGTGTGATCCCCAGCTGCAGGGCCTCTAGCAAGGCTGGTACACAGTTACTGCTGTACAAATGGAGGAGATAAAGTACCAGCCCTGTAACCCAGACCCCCACAGCCTCTGGTCTTCTAGGGTCACAGAAGCCAAAACAGGGACAGCTTGCCTATCACAAACCAAAGCCTGGGAAGAGAAGTTCCCCTTCCACAGCCCAGAGCTGCTGTTGGTCATGGGTAGAGTGAATGCCTCTGTCAGGCAGATCTGAGAGCCCGGCACCTCTTAAGTCCTTCAGCCTCCAAAGAAGGCATCCAGCTCTTTAGTCAGCACTTTCAGAACTAGACCACATCAAGACTAGATCATTGTCCCACTGAAATCCTTCTCAAATCTGGCCTTTCCCCTCTGATCCAGATACCATTTTACCCTAGCTCAGGACATTGGTAGCTCACCATGCAGTGGTTTCCTGGTCTTCCTGACTCATTCAACAAGAATTAGTTCTCCTTGTTAGCTGGAATGACCTTTGAGTACATAATTTCACTCCCCTGCTGAGTGGCCTTTGCTACTTTTACATGGCATATGGGGTGCTCTGTTCCTGCAGACCCAATTTACACTGCACTCTCTGGTCATGGCGTTCATTCAGCTTCTTCCTCCTGCCACATGGGATGTTCATCTCTTCTGCACTTGACCCTTACCCATCTCCCACATACTGGCTAGTTTCTCCTTGGGGTAACTCAGTTCAGCAGCAATGGATTGTGGGCTCCTTGAGGGCAGCTGTGATTTGTGTTTTCACAATTTCTGGCATCACACCCTACTCAAAGTAGATGTGTATAGTTTGTGAGTTCATTTATGTGATTGGCCCTTATCCCTCACTCTGGTGTACTCTGAGGGAAGAGAAGCTGCTGCTCCTTCCCTCTAGTAGCTTCCAACTACATTACTTGACCTTTGACCTACAGGGAGGGCAGGCCATTTCCCAGACCTCTGTGAAGCTTTCCTTGGGCAGCAGTTCAAGTTGCACACACCTGGCAGTTTCTTTGGGCCATTACTAATCAGGACATGTGTCAAACAGCCATTCTACTAGTTTCCTCCCGGTTGTCCTCCCTTGGGTAGCTATCCCTTACATGCCCTTCCACCACAGGGCCTGCTGCATAGTCACTGTAGCACAGCAGGCTCCTGCTTTACTTCCCTGGCTGCTCTACACCTGCCTGTGCCCTTCCTTTGAGTCAAGGTGTCTGATGAAAGAACCATATCCAGCTTGCCTGAGTTAGAACACTTCCTGCAGCTCTTGAGACCCTTTTGCACTGATATTCTTATGGCTTAGGCTGCCCTACCCTTTTATTGTCTACCTTTTACCAATATACTCAAGACCTAGGTCTTCCAAAGATGCCCTCCAGTCCCCCCGACCCTGGATTCATAGCCCTTTCCCTGAGCTTCCAGTGAACACTTTTGGCTTCATTACTACTCTTGCTATATGGTATCTGCTGCGATTTTCACTCTCAGAAGTCAAGAACCACCTTTTCTCAACTTTGTGTCACAGAGATGGGCACACAAGTGCATAAAGGTTGTTTAATTCAAGTGAATGTTGATGAAAGTTTCGACATGGTGATTCTCAACCAGGAGAGTTTCTCTGAAGAATTGGTTCTCCTGGGAGATGCCGCAGCATAAGGCCATCATGTTTCCAAGTTAGGTTAAGAAACCTCCCACACTAGATCATTAGAACTTATCAAAAAGGATGAGTCATTGCCAGACTCATCCAGCCTCAGAACCAAGACCTGCCTAGGGTAGGAAGATGCAGCTGTTTCCTCTCCTTGATTTTTTTTATACACTGGGGCCTTCCTAGAAGGTCCTGACCTCTTCCCACATGCCTAGCAGGGCCCCTAACTGTGCCTCATCCTCCAGCCCACATGGCTCCCCCATCTCATTTGGAGCCCACCATTCATTTACTCACAGCCACCTCTTTGACCTCACAGTACACCTCTTTGACCTGGCAAGAGCTTGTTGGCTGAACATATGCACAAGGGTTCCTGGAGAAGAGTCAGTAGAATAGAAGGCTTCTTCACCCAAGGGCAGTAGAAACCCCCTGGAACATGACAAGACCCTGGGTCTGGGCCGTACTCTCCTCTGTAAAATGGGAGATGAATAATCTGTCCTTAACCACTTGATTCTATGCAGACTAAGAATTCATTTAAGTCAGTGAACATTAAACCTGTGTTGGACTGGTCTCAGGGCTCCCTCAGTAATTAGGATAGCCAGCACTAGCTTTTATTTTTTATTGAGATTAGATGATTACATAAGTTTCACATTTCACAATCAATATTGTAGAATAGTGATACTTAGTTAAAGTCACAAACACATTTAACTTTCACAAGGCAAATTGGCATTATCATGGTCTATAAAGTTTGTGAATTTTATGAGCTTTGACAATACAACTATTTCTTCCACATCAGGTGATATGTACA